CAAATGGGTCTTTCAGAGGAAAATGAAGCCTGACGGCTCCATTGACAAGTACAAAGCTAGACTTGTGATCAAGGGGTATAGCCAACGCGAGGGCTATGACTACTTTGATACTTACGCGCCTGTGACTAGGATAGATTCTATCAGAATGATCATCGCATTTGCATCCTTACGAAACTTGGATGTTTACCAAATGGATGTGAAGACAGCTTTTCTAAATGGCGAACTAGATGAAGAAATCTATATGGAACAACCCGAAGGGTTTAAGGTCCCGGGCCAAGAAAAGAAGGTCTGCAAACTTGTGAAATCATTATACAGTCTTAATCAAGCGCCAAAAGTATGGCATGATAAGTTTGACGAAATAATGATGAGCAACGGTTTTAAGATAAATGAGTCGGATAAGTGCGTATACTTTAAGGACACATCTGAAGGGTATGTCATTTTATGTCTGTACGTAGACGACATTCTCATCGTTGGAAACAACGATAGGATGGTCAAGTCCACCAAGGACATGTTGAACGCACGATTCGATATGAAAGATTTGGGTCTGGCTGATGTGATTCTTGGAATCAAAATACTAAGAAGACCGGATGGTCTGAGCTTGAGCCAATCCCACTACATTGACAAGATCCTTTAGAAATTCAACAAGGATGATACAAAGATAGCTAAGACGCCGATAGACGTAAATGTTCACCTTAGTAAACACCGAGGGAGTAGCGATTCTCAGACAGAATACGCTAGAGTTATCGGAAGTCTAATGTATTTGATGAGCTGCACACGGTCAGACTTAGCTTGCGCCATTAGTAAACTAAGTAGGTATACTAGCAATCCAAGTGCTGAGCACTGGAAGGCCATAGTCCGAGTAATGAGATACCTTCGGTATACTCGAGATTATAGCCTATGCTACGGCAGGTATCCACCCGTACTGGAAGGATACACTGATGCCAATTGGATTGCGGATAATAAGGATTCAAAATCTAGAAGTGGATTTGTCTTTATGCTAGCCGGTGCAGCTGTTTCTTGGAAATCCTCAAAACAAACGTTAATTGCCAGATCTACCATGCAATCTGAGTTCATAGCACTAGACAAGTGTGCAGAACATGCCGAATGGCTTCGGAATTTACTTGAGGATATTCCAAACTGGGAAAAACCAGTTCCTCCTATTTGCATTTATTGTGACTGTCAGTCAGCAATAGGAAGAGCTCAGAACAAGTTATATAATGGTAAGTCTAGGCACATTCGCCGTAGACACAAAACCATTAGGCAACTTCTTAATACGAGTATTATCTCGATTGACTATGTCAAGTCGAAGGATAATTTAGCGGATCCATTAACCAAAGGGTTAACCAATGAGCAACATGAGAAGTTAGTGGTAGGAATGTGTCTGAAAGCCCTACCCTGTGCTGGGAACGTTCCATGAAGGAAAACCCAACCTAGGTGGAACCGGGTTCAATGGGACAACCTACTTGTGGAACGAAGCACGGTCACTGTGGGGGCAAGCCGGATCACCGACTTAACACCCCTCCGTTCTTACTGAAATATAGTGACTCTCCGAAAACGATGAGGTTAGCATGACGCTTTAATGATTCTTGAACTATGGACAACGAGGTCCAAGTGGAGTAATCGGGATACTTTTAGAAGAATCACCTATGTAAGAGTGAAGTGCGGTCGCTTCAACAGAAGGATTTCGGGCTGATCCTGTCTGACACTCTCGCAGAACCAGATGCGTGTTCCACGACCATAATGGGCACACCCATGAGAACGGAATGATGGTTGGTTGAAACTTGTGTATTGTATATCGTCGTTTACATAAACGGCAGTACAGTTCAAAGA